GCCCTGTTGTTGGGACTGAGATACAGACAAGTTGTAACTTTAAAGCGAATGTACCTGGTCGTTATCACCACTTGGGTTATTGCCGCTGCCTTTTCAGGAATGGTATTTTGGAATCCCTTGATAACCTTATGGTATGGTACCATAGGTATACCTCTATATCTTATAATCTCCATCTTCTCTTACACAAAAATTTTCCTCACCCTCCGTCGTCACAACACTCAGATTCACGATCACAATGTTCACCAACCGAACCAGATAAATCAACTGAACATAGCGCGATACAAAAAGGCAGTTTCCACTGCAGTATGGTTGCAACTGACGCTGGTCGCTTGTTATCTACCTTACGGTGTAGTGACTGCTTTGTGGGCTAAGAGTGGACTATCTGTATCTGTTTATCACGCTAGGATCTATACAGCCACTTTAATTTTCTTAAACTCGTCTGTAAACCCAATTCTTTACTGTTGGAAGCTAGATGAAGTTAGACAAGTAGTGAAGGACACAATCAGACAGGTGCTTTGCCATTGTTTTACAAGTTAGCTCTTGTGGACCAAAACGATAAAAAGCGTAAATGATGTTTTACAACTAAGACTTTAGAAGTTCTCGTAACAATTGCCTAACATTAATAGTGGTGCTTACTCATTTTAATATATCAGTACGAAATGTTTTTTCCAGCAATAAGATAGCCATCGAGAAAGTTTTCGTCATTGTTGTAAAGAAGTATAAAAAATTGGTCCAAATTGTAAGTTTATAATGCAACTCTGAATAGACATCAAAAACAATAAATTGCCACTTTTCTTCGTTTGGACTACATCACGCATAATAAAAGAGATTAGACTCTTCACAAAATACAGTTATTAAGTTCAACAGTAAGAAGGTTTTGATGTTTTTTTTTTTTTTTTTTGCTTATAATACAGGCAGAAAGCACAAAGTTTTTATGATATGGGTGAGTTTTTATGACACGAAAAGTCGCTTACGAAATAAGAGAGAAATTGTGCACTAAAATTTTATAATAACCGCCTTCAGTTCAGAGTTTGTGTTTTCATGATTTGTCTTTAGTTCAGAAACCCAACGAATATTCACAAACGGATTTCTTTTGCATTTATAGAATAAAACAAGGATACTCTGGGATACGTAGCTAACGCTCAAGCGGGAATTATTCGAAAATTATGACTTAAGTCTTCTTGAGGCATAAGCTGAATTTTTATTTTCTTGGAACATGCAAATTTTTGCCATTTAGTTTTACAGATGACGCATATTTCTGCAGCTGCAAGGGCAAATGAGTTAACTAATGGCATACTAAAATTAAAATCGACAGGTGGAAGTGCGTTTATGTGAAGCAGTATTTTATAATGAACATTTAATTTCGAAGCTACGCTCTACTGAGTCTTTGAACTTGGTCAGTTGAGAATTCGAGAATTGAATTCAGATAAGCGTGACGAGCATTCATGTTGAACTTCCCAAACCGTTCCATTAAAAACGGTTTCCGATGCAATTATCTTTCTTTTGAGACAGCTTGTCTGTCTTATTTGCAAATTGAAGCGTTTATTTATTGAACAAAACTCTGCTCTTAGGTAAATATATACTTAATTTACGTTTGGGGCGTATTAAACCAAGGATGAGATAAATTTGTTGGAGAAATATGGCGATAAGGTTATTGGAATGGTAAACAGAAAGTATTTTTTGCGACACATTTGATCATTTTCAGGCAAAGTTTAACACTTCCTTGTTAGCAATTAAGGCTCATATTTCTTGGCATAAATGTTCACTTGGCGTGGAAAGTCATTCGAAATAGAGGGAGGAAAACTTGACTTCTAATTAGTTATTTTTATCGAGAAAACTGAGGTTGTTAAAGTGGCAAAAGAAAGAAAATGTACGAGCGATGAATTGAAATACACTCTTCTTTTCAAAAACATTTTTTAAAGCTCTCCACCCTAAGTTACGCTAGTCAGAATAGTTATATCTTCCAGGCCATTTGTATAAACGGTTGGTGATAATTTCCCGAGCCTTTTATTTCTAGGTTAGGCCTCCCAACCACGTTAATCCGTCACAAAAATGGATTTTTTTCGAAAACGCTTTTCAAACCGAATAAATTTGAAAACGCCGGCCTATCGTTTTCGCATGGACGGAAAACATTTTGAAAACGAAGCTTTTGGACAACGATGACGTCACGCTAATCATGTGACTTTCCCTGAAGGAGTCCTCCCTAATGAGTGGTCATTGTCGCGCTTTCAAATTTCTCCGGCGTATTGTGGAAGGAAAACATTTAATGCGTTTTCAGAGTGAAACCTACACTTTCAAATTCTACCGGCGTAGTGAGGACGGAGCCTAAGATCTACAGCTGCGAGGGCAGAAAAGCTTGGCTATAAAGGCTTGTTTTCACCTGCGCATATAGGCGGGACAAGCAGACATGTAGATGCACTAATGTGCTTTAAGGAGCGTCCACTTTGGTGAGTAACGTTTCCAAACAAAGGCGCTAACTGTCAACATGTTATTGCGTCTGTCGGGGAGTTTAAAGCAAATATCAGTTAATTTTTACAGCAGAAAAATGGCGATAAAGTGAACGGCAATGCAAGGAAAACAAGCATGTTTTTCGACATATGTCCGCATTTTTGAAAAGGACAAATTTTACTGAGCGTTTCCTTGTCAGCTAG